TCCTTGCCACGGAAGGCTCCGGGGCCGCAGCATTCGGGGCTATGAAGGCAGGGGTTCCTGCCGCCACCTCACTTTCTCCCAGCAGGGAGGGACAGCGAGGAGATCATCACCTGCGCTATTAGAGATGATGATCGTCCCTGTCGTCTCCCAGGGTGTTGGCTGACCCTGAAAACAAGAGCGGGAGAGGCTCCTGCGGGGATGCAAACACCTTCCCCCCCCCCCCTCTCTTGTTCATCTTTCTACCTTCCTCCTACATCTCACATCTATCTCCCCACCTCCCTGCTCCTTCTCTTGCTCCTCCTACTTGACGCACTCACCCGAAATCCGCCAGCTTCAGCCTTCCTTCCGCTGTCACCAGCAGGTTCTCAGGTTTGATGTCCCTGTGGAGCTGAAGACCACTCGTCATCCGACCAGCCGCAGTCGATGAGCGAGCTCACCACATGGTTGTGGTGAAGGTACTCCAACCCGATGATGAGATCAGCGAAGTACGACTGAGCCTGTTGACGGTCACCTTGCAGTCTGACATGCCTCCCTCAGCTCTCACCTTCTCGAGCGGCAGAGGAGTCGTTCCGTTCTCGCTCGGCATGCACTGACCTTCAGAGCCGTCACCCGACCTCCCTTCATCTCCTCAGCAATATCACCTCCTGACACGTACTCCAGGCGCAGGTAGAGTTTGTTGCTGTCGGGGTCGTCGATGACCTGACGTATCAACAGACGAGCACGCGTCAATATCCATGGGTGACATGAGGGGAGGGCGAGGAAGAAGCCAAGTCCGAACACCGCCCTCACCTCGTACATCCGGACACAATGAGGATGGTTCAATTTCTTCATGATCGCAATCTCCTTCTTCACGTTCTCAAGCATGTTGGTCATGCCCTGTTCGGCTAGCACGTCAAGGGAGCTTCATCTCATCACGTAGCATCATCAAGACCTGTCGCTTCCTTCGCAGTATGTTCTTGTCCATCACCTTGCAGCCCAGTCAAGCCAACCACGACGACCCCAACCTTCAACCCTACCTTGATGGCATACAGCTCTCCGTCATGAGTGTTGCGGCAGAGCTTGACCTGCAGGTGCTGCTCACTCTCACATCAGTAGCTCCTCCATGCTCTACCTTGCCGAAGGATCCTTTCCCCAACTTCTTCACCACCTGAGGTAGGCGTGAGAACACCGCCGAATACACGAGCAGCGATCTGGCAGAGCAGAGACCTCAAAGGTGTTAATCATTTTCACGCCATCATCTCTAACAATCTTGGTCACTGTGGCTGTCTCCAGCACAGTCTCCGTGCCATTGGGAGGAGGAGATGCCATCTTCTCGCCGTCCATCATCACGAGATCACCGAGGGCTGCTTGCCAAGGGACTCAAGACGGCAGAGGAGCTCGACCTACTCCCTCCTTCTAGTAGATGCGTCCAGTCTCGCACGAGCCATTCCTCTCTATCCCCGCCGCTCCAACGCCTTCTGAAGAAATCGTAAGCTCTCCTCCAACCGATATCTCAAGTGAAGCGACTAGCTGTTTACGACCTTGGCTCCTTTCCCCGACTTGGTTCTCCCAAGTGTTCTCTGCACTACTGATGATACTGATTCTTCTCCTCTTGTCTCACTGCGACTTTGTCTTTGCTTCTCACTCTCCGTCCTCTCCTTCTCTCCTCTCCTTCCTCCTCCTCCTCGTAGCATGACATGATGTGCATGCGCCCTCGGTCTCGTTCATGGTATGAAGCTAGTTTCAACCGCGATGTTCGATGCTCATGATATGACCCCACCCTCGAAAAGTCTCCAACCTTACCGCCGCCATCGCGTCTACACCACCCGTCGCCCTTCTGTCCCCTTCGAAAATTGAAAAGCTTGTAATAAATGTTAATTGGCAATTTGAAAATTTAACCAACTAATTACATGACGCAAATCAGAATTTCAAATTACTTTCTTGAGTCGTACCCTCACTCATATCAGCCCACCCCTACTTTGACCACTTCCGACCACCAGTACCCCACCCTCCCTGGACCTACGACCACTTTACTCGCTCATGACCCCCACTAAACCTGTTGAGGACCCCTACCCCCTTCAAAAACATTTAAACTTTTTTCATGGTACAAACAAGAATTGTACAATCAGGGTTATTTGGAGCTAAAACTATTTAAGCAGTTTTCAAAATTGACTCCTATTTTTCGAATAACATCAAAGATTATTCGAATATTTCCTTATCATTTGAAAATCACCAACACGTTTTCAATCGCTCCATCATTAAAGCCATGACCGTACCCCCGGGGCCCGGCAGCCTCCGGCATTTCCTCCGGCCCGGACCCCAGCACTGAGCAAGAGTTACTAGTGGCCGGAGTGCAGTTTGGACTACCCTACCTCACTCCAGGTATTCACCTTGTTACACTACCCGTAGTTTGTACTGCCAAATATGCTAAAGTTGGGGGGTCCTTTTTCAGCCAGGGTGATAAGAAACAGTACCCCCACCCACTCTTTCTCCTTGATGTACCCCACCCTTTTAGGGCTAAAGCATTTGCTACCACTTTAGTCACTGCCACCCGCATGTCCACCACCCGTGCAAAGTACCCTGACCCCCTCAAATTATCCCTTACCCCCTCATCATATCTTAAGTACCCACCCCTTTTCGTATCCTCAGAACCCAAAGTCACAGATTACCCCTCCCCTCTCTCATGGTCACCAACCCCTGGGTCTAGACCCCTGGGATCAAAAGCGGAGGCCATGGCTGCACAGGTGACGCGTCCTCTTCGTCTTCATGCTGCGACGCCGCCACGACCGCAGCCCTCGATTACGATGCACGCACATGATGATACTCACTCTGACATGTCCGCATGCCCCCTCCTTCCCTGCCCCCTTCCTTCCCTGCTCTCACCTCCCTCCTGGCTCACACTACCGCCCATGAACCACAGCTTTCTCGCTCGGATAGTATCCTTTGACTGCCACCTGTTGATGCTCGTAGAAACATGTTCGTCTCTGATGACATGCTATCGCCTCCTTCGACCTCCCTTGCTCACTTATTTGCCATCGATTCATGGATTCCCATGGAAGACAAAAATACGGCGTCTTGTGTTGTTTCTGATTGACTGGCGTGCTTGCCCATGATTCTACTCCTTCCTCGGTCTTACAGCATTTGTCAATAGATTTCTGATCGATCTTTATCATTATCTCCCTCTCTCATCCCTCTCATGCCCTTGTCTCTGCTCATTAGAAACGACGGCAAACGAGAAGTAGGAGGGGGCTGACCTTTTGAACGTTTTGTTACCATGGCATGTTGTGTTTGCTCCCTGCTATCATCGTTCGCACTCATATAGAGAGTCTTTCTCTTGACATCCCCGTGCTTCTGACACCCACTCTCCTCGCAAGCGTCTCCGTCTGACGCGTCATACAGGACCACAAGGCGAAAGGGAACGAGTTGTATCAGGCGGAGAAGTATGAGGCAGCGCTGGAGGAGTACACCAAGGCGATCGATCTCAGTCCGCAAGACGGAGTTCTCTACAGCAACCGCAGCGCGTGCTATGCTGCCCTGGAGCAGTGGAACGAGTGTCTGGCCGACGCAACGACCTGTCTCAAGCTCAAGCCCGACTGGTTCAAGTCCTACTACCGCAGAGCCCTCGCCCTTCACATGATGCGACGCAACGTGGAGGCTCGCGGGCTGTGCAATGCCGGGCTGGCGCTGGAGCCGGAGAACAAGGAGCTCAAGGGGCTGAAGCTCAAGTGCAACGAGCCCATCTGCCGCGAGTTCGCCAACGCCTCCGCCATCGACTTCCGCATGGACAGGCCCCCGAGCGAGGACTTCAAGCTCGTGCTCAAGGGCAAGAGCCCCGTCAAGGGCGCGCAGCTCAACGGGCTCGCCTTCCCCCAAACCCTCCGCACGATGCTGCACACGGCTGTGATGTGCCAGTACCCCAAGATTGTCAAGGTGAGAAGAGAGAGGGAGGAGATGGGGGGAGGGAGCCAGGGACAGGAGGAAGAATCGAAGTGCAGCAGGGGCAGGGAATGGAAATGGGAGACGATTGAGGGAGGGAGGGAGCTATGATTCCAGGAGTGACAGTCACATTTCTCTGCTCTGATGAACATGGAAGTGATGTGGAGCTGCAGGAACTGATCAGCAGAGGAGCTGATATCGCCATAGAAGACAGGATGGGCCTGTCGCCTGTTCACATGTCTGCTCTCATCCAGGTGCGTGTGGATGCGGATGAGGGAGAGGAGCAGGAGCAGGAGCAGGAGCAGGAGCAGGAGCAGGAGCAGGAGCAGGAGCAGGAGCAGGAGCAGGAGCAGGAGCAGGAGTTAGGGGCAAGCAGGAGTTGACCGAGATGAGAGAAGTTAGCAGCAGCAGCAGCAGCAGCAGTAGGTGTAGGTGTAGGTGTTGAAGTAGGAGGAGAGGGAGCAGCAGGAGCAGGAGGTGAAGTGGAGGAGCTGACAAGTTATGAAACAGCACGAGGGTGTCATGAGTGTCATCTCCGAGCACTGGGACTCAACGCAGAACGTGTCGACAACGCACAACGCTACTCCCCAGGTAGAGCAGCTGACAGCGTGGAGGGGGAGGAGCGAGGGAGGATGGAGGGCGATGAATACGGGGCCGGAGGAGGAGGAGGAGGAGGAGGAGGAGGGAGGTATGCAGGAAGGTTGATTGGGTTGGGTCTTCAGGACATTCTCGATGCGACTAGCTTCACACTTCAGAGGCCGGAGGTCAAGGTCAAGGTCCTCGACCGCGAGGGCAAAGCAGCAGCTCTCAATGCGATAGAGGTGAGAGACTACCTGCTTGCCTGCTTGCTCCACTTGTGCTGCTTTCCTTTCACCCTTGCCCTCGTCCTTGTCCCTCCCTTCTGCTCCGGCAGATGAAGATGTTTGTTTCTCCTGCTGCTGTTTCTCCCGTGCTCACTTGCTCTGCGATTAGTTCATGCAGAAGATGGGGGCTTTCTACCAGCGCACGTGCCAGCTGTCGGACGAATACTTCCGGTAGAGGAGGAGAGGGAGCGAGATGCCAGCAGAGGAATTGGTGGGGGAGGAGAAGGGGCAGGTTCAAGAGGACGAAGAGGACGAGGGCTTGGTAGAGGACGAAGAAGAGGAAGACGAGCATCATCATCATCATCATCATCATCATCATCATCATCATCATCATCATCATCATCATCATCATCATCATCATTCATTCACCACCACCATGTTCTGTTTGTCTTCACTTGCCTGTCAGCTGCATGTATTCTTCAATCCTAGACGATGAAGGCACGGAGCTCATGCAGGTC